GTCATTTTCAGGCTGGAGGCCGAAACGACACAGGGCCTGAAACAGGCCCTACCCCTACGGACCCTTAGTCTACCAGGTCGGGCTCTGCTGGGCCCATGTGGTACGGAGTATGCCAGACTCCCCCCTCCTTGAAAGACCGAGCTTACCTGCGAGGGCGAAGCTGTCTGGTGGAGGGAGGGACTGAAGTCCGGGTGGGAGGTTGTGCAGCTTCCGTCGCTAGCCGTTTCTTCTCATAATGAGCATAGATGTCAGGAGCGGAGGCTCGCAAAGCTGCCCGGGAAATCCATCGCGTGTCATCGGGGTTGCACCACTTGAATGTGACTTTGTACTGCATGGGCTTGTTGTCGTGCTTGCGATGCGTGATGACGCGGTCGACTTCCTGATGACCATCCATGGAAGGAGGGTCATGTGATCGTCGTCCCGGAAACTCATCGCTCTTGGCTGGTGTATATGTGGCCAGCTTGGAGGCGTGGAAAACCGGGTGCACCGTAGATGCAGTGGGATTTTGATCACAAATGAAGGGCCATCGGTCTCATCACTCGTGGCTGATGTGACGAGCCATGGTCCAAACCACTTTGGAAGTAGCTTGCGGGATACATCCTGCTCGAGTGCAAACTCTTCCATGGAGACCCAAACCAGGTCGCCGGCGCGGATGGGGCATGGCACGCAACGCCTGTTAGCTTGCTGTTGCATGCGGACTTGAGCCTTTTGCATGTTGGCGTGGGCTTTAGCCAGCAAGTCCCTATACTTCCGAACGGAGGCCGGCGAACAAGCAGCATCAATGTCGGCAGTCCTTGGAAAAGGAAGATCAGCGAAGATGCGGCCTTTCCGTCCACAGTGGTGTAACTCGAACGGAGTCACGCCGATCGCCGGGTGCACCGAAGTGTTGTAGGCGAACTCGATGTCGGGGAGGCGGTCCACCCAATCCTTCTAATCCGTACGGATGAGTGTGCAAAGCATTACTTGAGCGGTTTGATGTGCCCGCTCCGTCTGCCCATCCATTTGCGGATGCCGAGCCGAACTTGGTTTCATCTCGGTGTCGGACTCTTTCATGAGAGAGGTCCAAAATGTCGACATGCAACGAGTGTCGCGATCGCTGACGATGTCTTCCGGAACGCTGTGGCCGCAAATCCAGCCTGTATGCAAGAGGCGTGCAAGTTCCGGAGCCGTAGCGTGGTACATGCAAGGAAGAAATCGTGCGTACTTGCTCAAATGGTCAACGACCGTGAGAATGTCGTCGTGCCCGAAACGGTCCCGGGGGAACGGGCCAGTCCGGGTTCCCGCATAATAGGCAACGGGCGTAACTCACCATAGGCGTTGCGATTGTGGAGTTTGCTTCGTCGACAAACTTCGCAAGAGTCGCAATACCGGGTGACGTTGGTAATGGCGTCGGGCCACCGGAATCGTTGCCGAAGTCTTGCGATCGTACGGTTGACTCCGAGGTGGCCGGCAAGTCTCGAGTCGTGGTACTCGCCGAGAAGGCGACTCCGTAAGCGACGGTCGTGTGGGACGCATAGTAAGTCCTTGCCGCGTGAGTGAAGAAGCAAGTAGCCATCGACGATGCGATAGTGGCTGGCCGGCGGGTGATCCGAGGATAGCTGATCGTAGAGCGTGGCGTATTCCGGATCGGACTTGTATGCTCGCACAAAATGCTGATGAAGGGCTTTGTCGAAACTGAATACGTGGTGAGTCACCGCGCAAAGATCTGATCTTCGCGAGAGAGCATCCGCGGCTCGGTTGGAGAGGCCCGGGATATGTTTCGGTGTGAAGTCGAACTGATCGATGAAGTACATCCACCGAGCAATCGTGCTGCTCACTGTGTCTTGCGTCTTGTAGTAGGTCGATGGGTTATTATCCGTCACCCAACTGAACCTGCGACGCCTGAGGAGGAAGTGTTGCCAACGCTTGAGTGCCGTGACAAACGCGAGCAACTCCTTCCGCGCATCATCAACGGAGTTGATGGGAGGCACCTTTTGGCTGAAGTACTCAACCGGATGCCAATCTACTCCGTCGTGTTGTTCCAAAACTGCACCCATGCCGTAGCCGGAAGCGTCCGTAGTCACTCTCGTAGGCAAGGTGGGATCGTAGATACTCAAGACGGGAGCGAGGAGCAATGTCGTCTTCAATTTGTGGAACGAACTGCGGACTTCCTCGGTGAACTGGAACAGCAGCTGTGGAGACTTCAATCTGGACAAAGGTGCGGCGATCCGTGTGTATCCTCCGATGAAGCGTTGGAAGTACCCGGCCAATCCCATAAAAGAGCGAACCTCCGTGGTGTTGGTCGGTTCCGGCCAATCTTGGATGGCCTTGATCTTGTCCGCAAGCGGACTGATGCCTTGCGGCGTTACAAAGTGGCCCAAGTACTCGAGCTCTTGTTGTGCGAATTCGCACTTGGCTCGGTTGGCCTTGTACTTGGCCGTACGTAGCCTGCCCAAAACAACACGTAGATGCACGATGTGCTCGTCCAAAGTTCGGCTATACACCAGGATGTCATCGAGGTAAATGAGCACGAATCGGTCCAACATGTCGCGAAACTCCGTTGTCATTGCCGCTTGGAAGGTAGTCGGGGCATTCGTGAGGCCGAATGGCATTACGACCCACTCGAAGTGCCCGTACCGTGTCTTGAACGCGGTTTTGTACCTATCTCTTGGATGGATCTCGAGCTAGTGGTAACCGGCCATGAGGTCCAACTTGGAGAAATACTAGGCGCCGCCCAAGCGTTCGAGAAGATCGTCGATGCGTGGGAGCGGGCCGACATTCTTAATGGTTTGAGCATTAAGCTTGCGATGGTCAATGCATAAGCGCAGCTCCTTGTTCTTCTTCCGAACGAAGAGAACAGGTGCACCATAGGGCGAGCAGCTAGGGCGAATCCAGCCCTTGTCAATGAGGTCATCAAGTTGCGTTCGAAGCACTTCGAGTTCCTCCTCGCTCATGCGGTAAATACATCCGCGCGGAGGTTCGGCCCCGTCTTCGAGGATGATCTCGTGACGAATTGGCCGATTCGGTACGATTCCGGTGGGAGCTTCAAAGACGTCGCCATAGGAGTCAAGAAGTTGTACAAAGCGTGGATCCGGTGGCTGTTCCGCTGCTGGCTCGTCAGGAGGAGGGAGGGCGTGCAAGAAACAAATGCCCATTTCCTCCACGTCGTTCCGTGCGATGGAGTTGCGAATGCTTGCCGCGGAGACCACGTGACAACCAATCGAAGGATGAGGTGGGGGGACCGTACATGGCACAAGTACCCCGTTCCGGTCACGAATGTGAACGGTGCGGCGGTAGAAGTTCACCGGGTGGTCCTCGCTGCGCAGCCATGACATGCCCAAGATCATGTCGAACTCTGTGTCCAATATGTCAAAGGACACGGCCTCACGTGCAAGCGGGGCGAAGTAAATGGGGACGGAGTCAATGCACCGGTCGATGGACTTGTACGTACGACCGTCGGCCAACTTGACTTGCGTGGGCTGCGATTTCCTTCGAACGCGCGGCCCAAGGCCGGCGCGGGTCATGAAATCCTGGCTGATGTAGTTGCGAGTAGCTCCACAATCAATCAAGGCGTTGTAGGTCGCCTTCCCGATCTGAATGCGGACGTAGAGTAACGGTGCGTCGGTGTCGTCGTACCGTTGCGTAGCGTACTCGCGGTCAATCTTCACAATGTACTCGCGAAGGTCAACAACTGCTACTCCGTCTTCCATCAACGAAGCTTGTACTGCAGCGTGCAAGTAGTTGCATAGCTCCGCCATTAGGGCGTTGCAATGCGGCTTCGGCAAGGAACCAGATGGGGGAAGAGGCAACCATTGGAAGTCCTCCGGTGTCAATGGGTCGAGTTCCTCAAGTCTAGACCACACCGACGAGTCCCCGAGTGATGTTGGCGAGGATGCTGGTTCACTTGGCGATGGTGATGAAGTCGCGCATGCATAAAACTCTTGCACGTGGAGAGGTTGGTCCAACGGCGGGACCAGCTGGACAACATAGTCTTCATAATCTTCGTGAAGACTGGAGACATTCGCATGTTCCCCGGACGTGGAGGAGGTTGTTAGCAAGGCAACCGTGTCCGGCAGAGTAGGAAGTGGAGTCGCCTCACTTCCCGTGAAGCTCAGTTTCCCGAGCTTTGCCGTGGACGGATGTCTTCTTTGCATTTGTCAGGGCATTGTGACGCCGTATGCTTGGTGTTGTTGCACCAGTAGCAACAGTTCCACCTCTGGCGGAGTTTGTATTGCTCCTCCGTGAGGTTGAACTTCTTCCATGGCTCATTCGGCTGTCTGGCTTCCGTTGTTGACGCATATTTCGCCTTCTTCTTCTTCTTCTTCTTCTTGCATCGTGGCGGAAGGGCGTTGACTCCGTCTCCTTCATTAGACTCGTGAGTCATCGCCTGATCATTCTCTTGTCCATTTCCTTGGACAGCAGCGACTTGCTGCGGCTGCGGGCCTTTGCCCTTTTCCACAAAAGTCGGTTGGCTTCGCCGCTCGTTGGCTGCCCACCGATTGGTTTGGATGACTTCGCGCGCCTTCTCCACGATCTGGTCGAAGTCCGTGTACAGGCTTTGCTCCCTTAGGGCCGTGCTCAACGCGTCAACTGACCGCTGGAAGAATTCGCGACGAAGATGTACGAATGGGATGTCCAAATTCGGAATCGTCACGATTTTCTGCCACTCGGTTAGCCATTCGCTTGTTGGCTGGCTTCCTTGATGCATGCTGAAGATCCGGTTCACGCCTTTGCCCCGAGCGTCGTCGACGATGAAGCGTTTCCGCCACTTCTCAGTCATGGCCTCCCAAGTGATCTTGGTGTGAAGCTTAGAGACTTCGACGCCCTCGGTTTGAGCCAGGTGGTTGAGCCACACTTGGTTGGCACCGGTGCTGCAGAGGTAAAGCGCTGAGATCTTCGACTCGGGCGGGACCAAGTGGATGGAGAGCTCATTGGTGAACCCTTGCCACCAACTGATGGGGTCGGCCTTGTGGTAATCATCAAATTTGTCGATGCTGAACTTCGGCATCTTGAATTGTTTCGGCGTCACATTGTTGCAGGTCCCAGTTGTTTGCTGCTGCAGTTGACGCAGATCAGCTTGTAGGGCGGATATTTGCTGGCTGATGGTCGCCGGGTGTCGGAAACTGTTCAAGTTGCCGATCATCGCGACGAGGTGATCCAGCCGTCCTTCCAGCTCGCGGATCGATGGATCAATGCTTGATGATGTCGTGTGCCTGTGCGGCACGTCATCCTTCTCCAGCATGTCAAGGCGGGCGTGGAGGCTGTTGAGAGTCTCCTTGTACTCAGTAATGGTACGTGCCTGCCGGGCCAGCTCCGCTTGTTGCCAGTTACAAGTGAGGATGACTTGGTGCATCATGCTGGCGAGAGCTGACTTAGTCTGGTCCTTCGTAGTTGGTTCCGTTGGTTCCGCCGGATCGACATGCCATGCTTGGAGTGCGGCGGTATGAGCGGCTTCCTGCTGCATGAGGACAGACGCGGCATCTCTTCGAGCTTGGTTGTGGTGGGCAGCTGCGTCAGCTTGCTGCCGGCGTCGTTGCTCTTCTGGGCGTGCAATGGCATTAAGGCGTGCTGCTTCGGCTGCCACCTCGTGTTGCTGCTCCTCTTGGACTTGCTGCATATAGCTGCCCAGGCGGGCCAGGAAGGCCGTCATGGCCTCTCCTTGCTGCCGGACTGGTGCAGCGTCGAGGGTTCCCGCAGAAGTCGCAGTGGAACCCTCCTGATGGGCCTGTGGGGCCGGGGGGTTCGAGCTGCACGCCTCACGTGGACTGCCGGATGCGGCATTGTCCACAGTGGGGTTGCCCTGAGTGTCCATTTCAGAGGGGTGGGGCAGAGGTAGCTGCTGTTCTGCTGCGGCTGCCCGCCCTTCTCGTGCTGCGATGCGGTTGCTGCGTCGGAGCATAAGCTGCAGTTAGCTGTACGGTGTTGATGACGCGGTACTGCTGACGTGGCCCTGCTGAAGTGAGACTGCACTGTCGTGACCTGCTGATGTGGCACTGCAGCTGACGTGGCACTGCAGCTGACGTGGCACTGCAGCTGACGTGGCACTGCAGCTGACGTGGCACTGCAGCTGACGTGGCCTGCTGACGTGGCACTTACCAAGCTGAGAAAACAGACAGGGGGCTGGGTGGGAGGGAATCGCAGGCAAACAACCAAACTGCAATTTCCATGCCAGTCCTAATCAACAGAATAAAAAAATAAAAGAAGTGGGTCACCCCTTTTTTTTTTTTTTGTGTGTGTGTATATCTGTTGATCTGTTATCAGTGAGGCATTTCACGGACAATGCTATGAGTGAGATCTAGGCAAGGTAGGATAAAGGTTCGATTTTCAGCAAAAGAATAAATTCCGTTTCCGAGAATATGACATCCTCCTATTGTGTCTAGCAACGAAATGCTGATAGGCTTGGCAAAATTCCGGTTTTCAGAGACCAACTTTTCGCGAAGTAGGATGGAGATTCGATTTTCAGAAAAGGATAAATTCCGTTTCCCCGAATATGACAACCTTCGTCGTAACCCTAATCTGCCTAGAAAACGAGATGCTGACGTCAGAAAAACGACATGCTACTATCAGAAATTTTCGGATATTTGTTACGTGAAAAAAAACGACGTGCAAATATCGGAACTTTTCAGATAAAAGTTCATAAAACGAAATGTTATTATCAGCAATTTTCGGATATTTGTTGCGTGAAAACGGAATGCAAATATCAGAAATTTTCAGATAACACGAAATGCTAATATCCGAAGTTGCGAAAAAAAAAGAAGAAAGAAAAAAAAACAGATTTGCAGAGATTTTGACGAAACCCTACTTGATTTACTAACCAATCAATCAATCAATCAATAGATCAAGCAAGCTGACTACTTGATTGGGCGGATCTTGATGAAAAAGGTCCGCTCCGATACCAAACTGTTGCATACTTTAAAGGTGCAGACCAGACCAAGAACCGACCTTTCTCGCCAGATACAGGATAGCACAACGGAAGGGTTAAATATCAATGATCCGATCAATCAAGCTGCCACGCAGACCAAACATGCATCATCATCATTCCATGGTGTGAAGGGGGCTGACGCTCACACAAGAAGAATGCGTCAGTCCCCAATCATGCACAGACGAAGAAGAGGGGGATGAGACGAAGGGGAGGCAGAAGATGGAAATGTCGTCAACACCAAGTCTTCAATACAGTCCCAAATAATCCCTCGCCAAAGGTCTGAATCCCGATGTTGAGTCTGAACCCCAATGTCGTCAAATCCCAATGTCGCCCATCTCTCTCTCTCTCTCTCTCTCTCTCTCTCTCTCTCTCTCTCTCTCTCT